AAGAGTTTTAAATTCACAACCAATTGGATGCGGCTTTCTTGGTATCTTTCATTGAAATGGACCCTTATCGACCTTGCCCATCCATTGACACATTGATTCATCGATATAAAGGTAAGCACCGGGTACAATAGCTTTAATAAGATTGTCGTTAAACGCATCATGAAATTGCCGTGCAAAATAAAAGGGGTCATCATTTGCTGGTACATCTGTTAACACCAAATATTTTATGATGTTCCGAAATCATTTGTGGGACATATATCATCCAAACGCCAGTGCAACCCCACCTGTTTCTGATTTAATAGACCAGTAATCGCAGACATCAGTACACTTTATGTATGTTATAATCGTCAGAATGCCAATAAAACGCATGAATTCCATCCAAGTTAAGTCATTCCATATTTGTTCGCATGCGCATGCACATTTATTCGTCGTTGTTATTACTGTTGACATGATATACTCGACGGATAAAAAATGCTCAAAGAACTGTCTTGGCGATGCATGTGTGATATCAGGGATATTTACGATTGGTGCATTGGAATAGGAACAGGATATTTTACGAGGATCGATGGTGACTACTTCATCCTTCCACAACATATTATTTGTATTTCTGGCAACTGCTGTCTCTCTATTTATGCTTTGGTCACTATCACTCGAGATATCAGTTTCACTATTAGCTGACTCCTCTGATTCGTTATTTATATTATTTAGATTGGGATTTGGTTCATCATTAGCTGTGGAAATGGCTTCGAATTTCATTCGACCCACCGAGACCTCGATTTCCATTTCTGGCTGGGCATCAAGACTAATTACCCAATGATTGGTACCGGATACTACTCGTAAAACTGTGGCTGAAAGTCGTTTGGTTTTCCACATGTTTCCTAAGAGTGGACGAGCAGTGTTTTCACTCACAACTGAACCCAAAACAGAAATCTTGGTGTCTTCTTTGATATTCGGTGAAATTCATCCCATATTCAAAGTTGAATATAGAAGTCAACAAAAATGGTTCTGGAAAAAAAATGATGATATATTATTGTTATATAGGTCTTCCCACTATGATCTATTTCTTCCTAACACCAACCCACACTTTATAACTGGTGAATGAGCATCACACTTCATGGTTGGCGTATGTTTCGATCCGTGCACGACTACAAAATAAAGATTTGTTAATAAACTGTTTCGACCTACTTGACTTTCTCGACTTTTTCGACTTCCCTGACTTCCTTGACTTCCTTTTGGGTCGTAACAATAAGTAGAAGTTGGTGCAACATCTTGTTTTGGCGACTTCTTTTTATGGTTGATTGATTTCACGTTCTACCAGCTGGTGCTACATTCCCATACTTGGCACATGATTGTTTCTCATGTGCAATCGTGACAGATCTACAATAATAATCATAATAATTATTATATCTAAAGGAAGTAATTTATCATTATTTAATCTCAGTTAGCTTCTTTTGATTGGTAGAAAATTTGGTTT